TATCTAAACTTTTCTTTAAAAATTCTGGATCTAGTCTAATAATGGTTTACCTTAGAAATAACGGCTTAAGTTGAAAACAAGGACTAGATTTAAAGCTAATAAAAATTTTAGCTGAAAGGACTGTGTACAGAGCCCAAATTCATCCAGCATTGTAAGTGCCTTTACAGATTTCCATTTTAAAAATACACTTGAAAAGACTAAGGAGCAAGATGTTACTTCTCCTTTTCCTTGACCCAAACGACTTTAATTCCTAAATTTAAAAGTGTGGGTTTTCCAAATTTCATAAAAAGTTAGCTTTAAGTTCCTAATCTATAATCAATATATTTTTCCAAGTGCCTAAATAGAAATCTAATAGTTTAACAACTTTATCTCCTGAATTATATGAATCCATAGAACTGTATTACCCTAGGTCATGTAATGAGTAGACTTATCATTACAAAATCCTACTGCAAATGGGATCACTGTAGATATTACAAACTGGTAGTATACTGCCATTAGGCATATTTAATTTGTGAATATTGCTTTGAAAGAGTAATTTCTTTCACCACCATGTGCAAGCCCAAAGGGTGTATTAATGTGGATCTCCAACATTAACTATATTCCCACATAATGGCTGGAAATTGCTGAAGAGTGGATGCTTAGATGGGACATGTGCTCTCCAATTTGTTTAGACCACAGCATCCCAGTTATTATTATTATTTGCTGGGCTCTGGAGACACTGAATAGCCATTTCCATTCACTATAATGTAAAGCCCTATCTTATATGTCTTGAGGAAACTGTTACTTTAATCACCTAACTTGAATGGCAGATTGTTGCATGCTGTATTAATGATGACCAGTGATCAATTTCAAGAGCTACATTAAGTCCCTACAAGATTATTTTTCAGTAAGCTGTACATGTATTATTTTTAAACTTTCAAATCTACTCTCATCTCAGTAAAATCTTGGTAAATGTTAAAAATTCTTTCCATATAAATTAATGGTAAAGCATTCCCAGATTCCAAAAATAAACTATCAAATCATACCAAATTTGAACTTTTGGTAGTAGGGAAAACCTGCACTAAAGCATTATATTCTAAAATTCACACAAGCTGACTCAACTAGCTTTGTTTCTATTTAATTATAAACAGATGTAAGATGCCTTGATAATATAACTGACATTCATGTTTTATTGTAAAATTGATTTTAGGAAATTAATACACTTCATTAACATTCTGAGAAACTTAGAATTTTACAATTCATTAAATTGTCGAACATTATCTCCAAACGATTGTGCTGACTTTTTGATTTATCGATGTATATTATAAATGTATGTATAATCACCTATAACTTAATGAAATCCCTGTATTTAGCTTTGGCCTCCTGAAAATCCTGCTTAAGATTACATTTTCTCATACCTCATTTAATTAGCAGTATTAGTATGAATGAACTATTCCACTTCTTCATTGATGCTTTACTCATCATAACTTCATAAATATATTCCACACAAATCTGTTGTATGTTTAAAAAAATCACAAGCATTACATTATATCCACTGGAGGGCACTCAACATGACCAAAGCAGGCAATGAAAGCAAAATCTAATACCACTCTTACACTGCTGCACTAGGCTGGAAAGAAACTGGGGGCATTGGAGGTGGGGGAATAGCGGAGGACAATGAAGTATCACAATTAACAAATTCAAAAAGATAGTTAAATTCTTAAAAACAAAAAACAAAAGGGGGGTTCAAATGTGACTGACTTTTCTCTTTTAAGAACCTCATTCTTCCTTAGGGAGAAAGATCATATGCATACTTCAAGGATAGCCTGGTTCAAGTCCCAACAGATGGATATAGGTTTCAGAATCAAGCTCAGTCTTGCATGAAACATAAAAGCAGCATTCTTAAGTAAACAGAGGAAATAAAGAACTTTCTCCTGAATTTAAGTGATGAAAAACTATTAGAGCTAACTCCTACTCATTTTCAAGGAACACAAATCATGTATTTTCCTTTTATGAAACCTGAGAAATTATAGTTAATTCTATTAGTCTAGTTAATACACTCACAATTAGAGCAATACTACATAAACAATAGTTTTAAAAATTGAGAACTGATTCAGCAAATCAATATCCTGTCACTGATATTACACACAGCAGTAGTTCAGCAGTTACAATGTTCTCTACTAATCAGAAGTAGTTTCTGGTCTATGCTTACTCTTTACTTTTTTGGTATAAAAATGTTTCTAGTTGAGCTGTTTCAACAAAAGATGTTTTCCAATAAAAAAAAAAGCTACAAGAAAACAGCTAATACAACTAATGTTTCACAAAGTCAACGTGGAGCACTATTACCCTGCTCTAAAGCATTCAATCCTTCCTCACTGCCATTAGCAACCAAGCATGTTTCTAATGAAGCTCAAAGTTCAAACTTAAAAATTTACCACCGATTTCTAAAATTATTGAGTATCAACACGTAAGCAAAACATGAAAAGTGAAAACACATTACAATTGGACAGATGAACTGTTAATTTCAGTAACACAAACGTTTCATTTATCTGAACACACTTTATCTAGTTCATCTGGGGTTTTAATTTCACTGCTACTTATAAAAATGATATTCCATTTTTTTAAGTCTCCAAGTCTTTAGTTTCAACAATACTAATACTCCCCTTTATATACCTCTCAACAATAAAAAAGATTACTTACAGCACCACATAAGGAAACTTTCCTGTTTCATGTTTTCCCTTACTAAAGGGAGGTGTAGGGTAGTCTATAAAAATAAGTCATACAGAACTTCATTTAGATGGGCAATTTTTATTCCAGTTATCACTAGTTGTATGAAACTCAACTCTGTTTTAATATTGAAAGACATTTTTTCTACGTAACGATCTTGGAAAGAATCAGGTATCGAAACAAATACGTCTGAATGCTTCTTTGACAAGTGAACATTTTCAAATGTTTCAACTTTTTACTGACCATCTTATTTTAGAAACTTAATTTTCCTGAAATCTAATTAAAATTACTGTTCTTGCCCCTGGGAAAATTTGAAAGGCCTAGGACTCCACAAGGACTCTAAGATACAAGCTATGCTAAACTTTCTAGGGCAGGTTCTTTTCCCCTCAAGGACTTCAGACTTGAATAGCCTCAACATTCCTTTAATCCCATAGAACAGTATTCTGCAAGTTTTTCAAGTTAATGTAGCAATCACTTAGGGCCTTGTCCTTGTCCATGGCCTCCATAACAAAGAGTAGGCCAAAGTAATGAATATTAGGTGCAAATTAACTAAATTTTGTGAAACCATATTCTCAAATAAACCTAAAGGTACTTTTTAATCCAGAGACTTTCAGTTTAACTGTAAAATAAATCAGCAGAGCCTTTAGTTCAGACTCCCTCCCCAAAGCTTCTAGTCTGTCAAGAATTTCAGTAGATACTAAACAGAAGCATTCTGTAAATACCATTTCGAGTTATATCTAATATGTGTTAGCATGAAGACAAGTTAATGTGAAGCTACTGAAGGTAATACACTTCACGGAGGGACAATGAAATGTCTCCCCAAATTCTAGACAGAATACTTTAATAACTTAGCGATCCTGAAAAACATTAGTCTGTACTTTTATCAAAGGAAAGCCGGCTCTCCAAGTACATGTCTAGTCTAAGCCACCACTATCCACGACACAAAGCTCCCATTTCACTAAAACTGCTCCTTGATTCCTTTTGCCGACCTCTGCATACCAGCAGGCCAGTTTCTCTTCATTCACCACTCAAACTCGGGGGGAGGGGAGAGGAGAGAAGACCACAGATGTCTGGAAGATACAAAGTATGAGACAATGCACTCTCCAAAGCGAACAGGAAACCAAGAAGACAACTTAGACCCAACTGCCGAAGCTTTCAAGATTAGCGGGTTCAGAAGCGGACTGCGAGAACTTAATTTAGAAAGTCTCTGTTCAAAGTCCACACCCCAGACAAAACAGTGAAACAAGTTGCAATGCTTCAATTTCATTTGGCCAATTTCGTAGTGAAGGAAAAATTCATTCCACCGAAAAGAAAACGTACCCATAAAACCAAGTTGCGTTTCACAGAACTATTTGGAAAAATTTCTACGAACAAAATCCTCGAAACAGAGGCTGAATTCCACGGCTCGCTTGATAAGAACAGTAAGCCAGTCGCCCTCGCCCCCTCTCGTCTCGTTTCTCTTAGGGTCTCACACCCACCGCCATAAACCCAGGAAAACTCCCCGTACACTGCACATTGCTTTCACTCACCTGCACGCTACAGGAAAATATAAGTGCAAGCCATGGATTTTTGCGTGCAATACCTACTGACGCATCCCACCGCCTGCACTAACAGTTTGATTCCTCTAAGATTTAAAGTTGTCTGGATTTCAACAAGCACCAGCGCCTGATTCCCACAGGCAGGCGTTAACAAAATTACTAACAATTCTCTTAATTCGTCCTTAAGACCAAGCTAGGGAACACCGAGAGAAAAGTCCACTCACAGGCTCTATCCCTACGGCAGATGGGACTTAGGGTGGCGTCCCAGGCTCGGCGCTTGTACCCCAACTCCCCGCTGGGGCAGGGAAGGCGGAGCCCCCAGTCCCTACCCCGCCCCCCACCCCGCGCCCGGCGCATCCCGAGGCGCAGGGTCCCTCCCCCAAACTCGGCCGCGGCCCGAGCCCCGGACGGAAACCACAACCCCTCAACCCCCCACCCCGAGCCGGCTATCCATCGCCTGGACGCCCCTGCCCCGCAAGTGGTGCCCACTGCCTGCAAGCAGCACCCCCGGGGCCCCCAAGGGGCAACGCGGCCGGAACCGGGGCCCGGCCGCCGCCCTCCGCCCCCCGGGTGCGGCCCACCCCCGCCGCCTCCCCGGCGTCCTCAGCCGGCACCCCCACTCCCTAATCCAGGCCTCCAGGATGTGCTGGGCCCGGTTCCCATAAGACGCCAGGACCGCGCGTCCGCGACGAAGTTTGGCTCCGAAGACCGAGCGGGAGCAGCCCCGTAAGGGTAAGGAAAGGAGCGCCCAAGCACCTCAGGGGAACAGGCTCCTCCCGCCGCGGGAGTCCGACCGTCCTCGCCCTGCGGTGGCGGCTTGGCGGGGACTGGAGCTGCTCCTCGGACCTTCCTCCGTCTCCGCCTCCCCTCACTCTCCGCTCCCGGGGCCGGGGTAACGCGGCTGCCACAGACCGAGAGACTTAAAATGGCGCCGCACAAGGAGCTCTTATAAGTCGCGTTGAAACCGCTGTATCCTGCCGCCGCCGGCGCAGCGCGGAGCGTTCCGCCGCGCGAGGACAAGGGGCGGGGCGCGGGCGGGCAGCGGAAAGTAGTCCCCGCGCCGGCGAGTCGCTTGTTCTTGTCCGACCGCCGCGGGCCGGGGTGGGGCGCCTTCGAGCTCCCCTGACGCTCCCCTAGGTAGAGGCCCGCGGCAGCCCACGGCGCTGGACCGGAGACGCCCTGCGAGGGCACCGCGGTCCGGAGCGGGGAGGCCGGGACCCCCGCAGGTTGCGGGTTTGGGGAGAGGGCGACACCTGGAATCTCCACCGTCCCGAACTGTTCCGCCTCCACCCCACGCGTCCCCGAACCATGAGAGCAGACTCCGGGCTAGCCGCGCGCTTTGTGCCGCCCCAGCAGGCGGCATCTCGGCCCCAGCCTGCGCGGGACGGTGGGCGCAGGTCCCGCGAGGGCGGAAGTTCGAGTAGCGAGCGTTTAGGTCCGGGCCGCCTTGCTCCGGGCGTTGCCGGCCGCCGCCCCGCAGTTGGTCGACAGAGTCCAGCCGTCGCTGCGGTCTGGGCCGCACGCTCCCGGCAGCACTGGCTGCAAGCCTAGCCGAGCACCACCCCAAAGCCCCCCACTGTCGGGTCGTGATCTCGCATCTCAGCCGCCTGTTCGGCTGATTCTGAAGTGAACTACCTGGCAGAGCCGCCTGCCATCCTCATTCCCGAAGGCTGTGAACTCAACGTTAGGATGGGCGCCTAGCCCGCGATTCAACAAGTCCTTTTGAGTACCTGCTATGAACCAATTACTAATAGAAATGGATTAGCGCAGAGCTCTGTCATTATGAGGTTAATTTCTAGTTTATTTTTATCTGGTTCCACTGTGCTACTTAGTTTTCAGTGGAGTTACTTGTGGGAATTTGTCTTTGGAGGTGCATTTCTGTGGTATCACTTGCGAAATGTACCTGCATTTCTACGATATCACTTGCGAAATGTGCCTATGTTGTCTATAGAAGTAACTGTCCATTAGGTAGGTTCTAATTTATTTTAAATAAGTATTTTTCAAAGAGATTTTCTAATTCGTTTCACTCGACTGAATGAAGTTGGGTCTTCATTTATTTCCCTTGAAAATGTCTCCATTGTAATCCAGCAAGATTGGTATTTGTTAAAGTTGAAACCATTATGACCGACTTACTTTCTCTAGTCTTTTGTTTTATGCCTATTTTTCCTACAAAAACAATGGAGAGAGTACAAAAAGCAACAGTGAAAGTTATCTTAGGGCTTTTATCCCAGGACTATAATTAATGCATGCAAACAATAGGTCTTTATACATAGGTACAGGCAGGAAGCCTCCTTACTCATTCATTGATGGAATAGGATATGTAGTTTTAGGCATAGCTAATGCTTTAAGGTCAAGGTGTTCTTTAAATAATTCTATTTCCCCCCTATGAAAGATATTTTACTTAATACAGTGGTAATGTCTGCTACATAGCACAAGTGGGTCCCTGCAGTGGAAAAACTCCACACGCTAAAATGATAGCGAGATCCATTGTCTAGAATGACCTTCTCATTTGTATCTTTGCTAGTAATTCTGCAGAATTAAGTACCATTGATGCCTATAGTTTAACTCAGCTGGTCATAATTCAGCCATCTAGTAGAAAAAGGTATCAAAGCATTTTTTTCTAATAGGAATGCAAGTATAAAATGGCATTTGCAGAGACTGAGCTCCAATTTTAATTATCATATACAGAGTTAAAGAATACATACTAGATTTGATTAAAGTCATATATTTAAAATCAACTGAACGATTAATCACCACTAGAGGAATTTGTTGTGGTTAAGAATGTTTCCTTTTTCTGTGTTTAGGTGTTTTCTAATGTCTTTTTGTGTTGTTGTTGAATAAAGCATATTGTTTAAGCCAGCTACATACTTGCACTGGTAGAACATCTATAGGTTAAAAGTACTTCTATATTTGTGTGATCTATTTAGCTGCCAACATAATGGAAGCATATATCTATAATTTAGGCATCTTAATCTAAATTCGGAATTTAGATTTTAAGATTTCTAATAATAATTTTAGCAAACATACCTTATTAAAGAAAATGTAGAATTTCCAACAAGGCATCAAGCTGTTTTCCCAGTCAAATTCAAGTATACTGAAGAATTACTGGATGACTAACATTAAAACATTAGTTTAATTTTGCAAGTTGCTCAGAATTTTTTTTCTCTAAAAATATCCAAATTTTTCAAGTTCACCCAAAAATTAGATAACTTCTGTGAAATAAACACAAATACTACAATTAAGTCAGCAAGAAATACAGGCATGAAAATACCCAATAAGTTGGTGAAGTAAGTGATTTTGAAAAATTATCTTAAGAAATTGATTTTTGGCAATAAGTTACATAAAGAAAAAAGCAAAACAAAAAAACTTATCTCCTTACACCTTTTCCTTCCAGAGCTAGACGTCTGGGTTTAACATAAATTAATCCATTTTGTGAAACTGCAAAAGATAAGTTGTTTTCAATTTAGACTTTTCCTAGGAACCAGGTGTTTTTTCAGCTCTGATTTAATACAGGAGGCATTAATTGTGATATCAAACCATTGATATATCAAGCAGCGGCTACATGGAACCAGAACATAAAGTGTCCCTTCATTAAAACACATGCTTTGGAATCACCTTTAGGCAAAGAAAGAAATGCCCAGATTTTTGCTTGCATTTCCCACCGAAACATTTATCAAGCTAGCCCTGTAAAGAAGGCCCATTCACTTTTTGAATAGTTAAAACTATCAAATTAATTAATTAAACATTTATTGAGCACCTAAGACAATGGGCTTCCTTTTTAGAGAGGGAAATGGATAACTGGCTCTTTCTGATTAGATCCCTTAAGGCAGAATTGTTATTATTAACCAACCTACTTGAAAACAAACAGAATGCTAGAAAACAACAGCTGTGAAATTAGGGTGTGGTCTCCCCTGGATTCTACACCCAAATGTCTTTGGGAAGAATCCTCTCCCAGCTGAACGGTAAGAACTGAATATACATACCATCATCTAAAAACAATAAATGCGAACTCTAAGAAGATCTGTTAAAAACGTTTCTTTTTGACAACCTGAAAACACTGGACAATAATCGGGATCAGCTTTTCATTTAGCAGTTCATCAAGTGGGCTATTTATGGATTGGGACTTTTGATTTGCAATACATCATCTCAGGGTTCAATGTTATCTTTTGATTTCTTTCCAGCTGAACAGGCTAAGTAGTTGTAAATACCTCTTGTCAGACTACATGGTTGGATATTCTCGCACACAGAAGTAATCTAGGAACCCACTGGGCAAATTCGGCGAGAGTCACTGTGGAAAGCTTGCATCTGATGTGCACTGCAGGACAAGGGAGGGGCAGGGAAGATGGTGAGAGGGGAAGGCCATGATGCTGGCGGTGGCAGCAGCCTTGGTAGTTATGTTTACGGCTGCTTCACTGATGCCCACTTGCGCTTCATACTTGGAGTTCTGTATTCTCAAGGCCTTCACTGGTTTGACACTACAGTCCTTGCCATGCTATGGAAATACACTTAACGGCTATCACGGGAAGTGTGAAGGAGAAGCAATGGAGACATCATCCATGATATTCAAAGAACACAAAGGTATATGTTTCTCAGTGTTTCTAAGTAGTAAGACAATTACTACCGTATTGCTAAGAAATCATGCTTTGGAGACATAACCCCCCAACATACGCGCGTACACACATACACACACACACACACACACACACCCTCTATTAAAATTTTCAAAATGGTTGCAGATATTTCATTCACAAGAAGGTTAAAGGCGTTTCCCATCGCAAGGAGGATTAACTTACCGGAGGATTCTGGGACTGCAGATGGATACTGCGGCAAAATCCTAAATTCATCGAAAAAAATCATTTCTGGACTCCAGCTGCTAAAAATAATAGAATTATAGTAAATCATAGATAAGATTAAAACAAACTATTGTCGCAGTCCAAAGTGTGCAGGAAAAATAATGATTCTTTTGACTCATTTTTTAAACAATGCAAATTTTTAAAAGTAGCTTTCCTTTCCACAGCACGCAGCGCCATGAAATCGATAATTTTTGATCTTTCGGTTAGTAGGCAACATGGGGAGCTATTGCAGGGACTGCAGGCAGCAGACATGTTCTTGTCAGCTAAAAATTTTCATATTGTTTTTGAATCCATTGAGATTTGTAGATGTGATATCACCGGTTTTTTGTTTGAGCTTGCATTAGGCTAGAAGGACGCAAACCCTTAATTTATCGACATACCCATGTCTATTGCTTTAGATATATTAAAAACAGGGAGTCTTACTGGATCTTAAACAAAAAATTATGTAAAAGGAGTGGCTGGTGTGATTATAATCCCATCATGCAGGGTCCACGGTTCCCATTTAGTGAAATTTCGCAGAGGGCAACTTCTTAAGAACATCCCTGCTGTGCAGAGTGAAAAGCATGAACAAACCAAAGACAGAATTCATCTGTGTTTATATTTTACAAACAATGAAAAACCTACTCTTTGTATGCCTTTTTTCCCCCACCTTATTATTTCATGAAAACTGCAGCATTTTCCCCGCCCCCATCCAAACACTCACCACCCAGCACTGCAGCCGTGGTCCCTTTTTTGCTTCTCCTTCGTTGTCTTTTTCGCTTTCACAAATTCTGCACGCGCCATCTTTGTGTGGGGTGATTCTTTGCTAATTTCAGTTACCCATTCTCTTACAAATCGGTTCAGAAATAGAAAATTATAGTGTGCTTCAGGGCTTAATTTGCCTAAATTTCTTTCAGTCTTCTCTTCTGACAAAAATGGAAACGACAGGGGAGGAAGGAGCCAAAAAAAAAAAAGATATTTCTATTATTGCCATAACCTGTTGTATACAGTGGTGATAAAAAATATTATTAACATAATAGCAACAGCTGCAGCCTAAATAGAAGCTATGAGATAATTAATGTGCTACAACAAATTAATTTGCTGCAGGTGCCTCAGCTGTGAACCGAGTAACCCATGCCATATA